CCGGCGACTGCAAACGACAGTGACGTCTTGCCCGTACCCGGAGGCCCGTGGAAGAGGTATCCGCGGCACAGCGGGATACCGCGAGTGGCATACCACATCGGGGCGTTCGGGTGCAGGTACTCGTTGATATCGGACAGGAGCTGGCCCTTTTGCTTGTTGTCAAGCACGACAGTAGACATAGGCCTGACGGGCCGGTTGGCCACTGTGGACCACCTGTTTCCGCCTCCAAACCTGCGCGTCATAGATGAGCCGGGCCGTTTGATAATAGTGCGGCCGGAGCTCCCCTTGAAGCAGACCTCCCTTATGTGCCGGAGCAGCCTTTTGATCGGCTCCGCAGAGAATGAAAAGCAGGAAAGTACCATGGTCTCGGTATCTTTGATTACCGAGGCACCAAAGTGGTTGCTGTTACTGGCGAGCATGCTTTCTCGCTTCCGGTAGATGCGGAAGTACGTCCCCCTAAAATAAAACCCATGGCTGCCCATGGCCGGGATATAGCGGGGAGGCTGCATATCGCGGCATCAGCACACCTTTCCCTGCCCAACATCTCGCTCGGGGCGTATCATAACTCACTGTGCTCGCGTGCTGGTACGAAAAGTTAAGATACGAGTTCTTCCCATCGCCGTCAAGGGCGGGCACTAGCACGTAATTGGCCTCGTTGCTCTGCCCCTCCCAAACACCCGTCGTAGGCGACTCGGCTATAAGAGACCGCGCATTTTTAACGTGGGGTTGGGCGGCCAGCCACTTCAGAACCTGTTGGTGGATGTCATCGTCGCTGCTGATATGTATCGAGGCCATCAGATACTTTTCGGCTAGGTCGTATATGAGCTCCCATGTCTGACGGGCTAGCCGGCACGCTGCCCAAAGCAGACCCAAGAAGGCAACTATTGCGGCGAGGTCGAGGCCCAGGTAGGCAGCAAAGATGGAGTTCATGGCCATGAGGGTGTGCAATAATGGGTTGGTGTGTGCGCCGAAAAGAGGCATGAGCCCCTCGAACCCTATAGGGAGCTGGCCTGAAGAGCCGGTGGCGTTGCTGGCGCTGGCAGTCATGTTTGCAGTGATATTGCCAAAGATGGCAGGGTGTGGTTCAAAATAGCGTCGAAGTCGATGGCAGTAGTGGTGGAAATAAAATTTAAAGCCGGGAAAGACTAGTTGAATGACCAGGGCTAAAAAGGCGGCGGACAATTCCAAGAAGCTACGTATATATCTTGCGTGCGGCTCTAGCTGAACGGGCTGGCCCGATGAATATTTGTTGGTTGGATTTGGCAGGCTTTGCCTGAATCCCCGTCATTCCGTTAGGTAGGTGGGCAATGAGAAAATGGGGACCAAAAGTGGTTGTCGGGCAGGCGGTAGGCTGGGGGCATGAAGTGGCTCATAGGCTTGATAGGCGGGGGCCAGCGGGGGCACTCAACCAGCCTCCATGCAAAAACCGTGCAGTTTATGCCGACACATACCAGGAGAATAGAGTGGTCATAATCCGTGGCCATGTAATCGGCACTGCTCCATCTCCGTCGAGCCGCATCGCTATCTCCACCCACCCATGCCTCTAAAGACTTCCTTGTCCCGTTAG